GGCCTCGGTGCGCATCGCCCTCGGCCAGTACGGGGCGGACATCTGCAAGGCCAACTGCGACGTCGTCCTCCTCGACGACAACTTCGCCTCCATAGTGCACGGCATCGAGGAGGGTCGGGTACTGTTTGACAACATGAAGAAGTCCCTCTGCTACACGCTGAGCAGCAAGCCGGTGGAGCTGCTCCCCTACGTGCTTGCCTTTACCGTGGGCATGCCCAAGATGGCTAGTTCCATTACCATAATGGCTATAGATTTGGTGGCGGACAACTTTCCGCCCATTGCGCTCGGTTATGAGGGCGCAGAGGGACATGTGATGCTGGAGCGGCCGAGGTACCTTCGCCGGGAGCGGGTGGTCAGTTGTGAGTACGTGTGTGGTTTGCTTTTGGAATAAGAAGTTTGGGAGTTTTTGAACTTTTTTGACATTTTTCTCTACAATTTAGTACCATCATCATGTCGCTGTGCTTCTACGGGGCGATCCAGTTTCTGGGCGGCACCTTCTCTTACTTTGTGGTAATGGCGCAGATGGGCTTTCACCCCTCGTCTTTATTTTTCATTGCCCCCAGGTGGTACTCGGCGGCGGTGAACGACTACGAGGATGACTACGGCCAGGAGTGGGTAAGAAGAGGGAGTGGGTGGATAAAAATGTTTGAAAAATGTGTATATCACTTTGTATCCTATCACAGACCTATCAGCAGCGCTCCGAGCTGGAGTTCACCTGTCACACCATCTACTTCATCACCGTCGTCCTCTGTCGCATCGCCGTCCTCTACTCCTGTCGCACGCGGCGAGACTCTATCCTGGGGCAAATTTTTAGGTAAGAGGGCGAGGAGACTTTTGTACTCGCACTTTTTCTTTCTTTTTTTTCTTCTTTATTTGTTTAACTTTTTTTTCAATTGTTAAACAAGAGGCTAAAAATAACAGTTCAACAAAGCATCAACGAGTTCTTAGAAAATTTAATTTAATTAAGATGACACACTCTTTTCTATCTTAAATTGATTTTCTTTTTTTCTATTTTTAAAAAACGTGGGCGACAATGATTTTGTGGCCTGTGACTTACCCAAAACCGGCCACAGTAACACCATGATCAACTTTTCCGTTTTTTTCCTGCTCTTTGCGTGCGCCTTTCTCTCCTACTACCCGATCTTTCAGTACCTGGTGCAGATGTACCCGATCAAGTAGGTGCAAGTTGTTGTCAAATGTTTAGTTTAGCGTAAAGTGCTTTTCTCGACATTTTCAGACTTCCCTGGTGGCTGATCTCCGCTCCGTACTTTGTGCTCATTCTGGTGCTCGAGGAGCTGCGAAAGCTAGTCATACGCAGGTGGCCAAACTCATTAGTGGCGGGAATATGTTACTATTAGTGTTCTAGTAATAACTAGTGCATTACACATAAAGATAATTTTTTTTAATTTAAAAAAATAATTGAAAAATCACTTCTTTTACATTCTCCCCTGTTTGACCATTTTGGCGACGTAC